CCCAAAATTATTCCTCTCCATCCAACTACAAAGAATTCCACGCAATTTCCCTAGAAATATGCTGAGCCCATTTCTTCTCCTTTTGAGATGAAAGAAATTCTAAAGGTATTACCTATGTGTCATAACATCAAACTTGGAAAATATGAAAATCACTGACTCCAATTAAATCAATTGAAGGAATAATGCATGCAACAAGATATGTTGTATAACTAACACCTCGCTCTAAGCGGGTATATATACGGACCTACAACGCCGATATTTCATTCGCTTCTCTCGAGCTACTCCCCTCGGTGAACCAGGTAAGTCAATATTGACTTTACTCTTTAATATACGTATATTTTTGGGTATATATGTCAATGTGTTTGTATAAATATTTGTACCTGTGTGTGTGGACATATATATATAAAAAAGTATATGTATGTACGTATATATGACATAAAATATGTATGTATAGATGTTCTGTAAGCAATTTCTTGTCATTTTGGAGCTAAACCCAAACACAAAATTCTCTGCAACGTCAAGGAATTTCTTCACTTGAACTTTTTTTTTCTTGCTCTTCCTTCTGTTTATTTACCACTAGGCTTCCACACTGGAAATTTGAAATTTACTGCAACAATTTTGAAGTCAGAAGTAATTTCCAGTTCCAGGTTATTTTTATTAGGTGTTGGGAATTCAGATCCCTAGATAAAAAAACTTTATGAAATATTTACTACTTTAAGTAGACATCCTGGAAGGAAATTCCTCCATTTCCTTTGCATTCTTTAAGTCTATCCCACACTGAGTGGCTCCCAGCACTAAGGGAGGTAAGGGGATGCATGTGATGGGCTGTTGGTCTCATCTGAATAAGCATCAGTATTGAAACTGGCATATTTTTCCTTAATTTATTCAAATTTCTCTAACTTCTGAGCTGGCAAAGTTCAGTTCTGAGTTGATCAAACCCATATTTTTCTATATGTAGTCGTTTTCTAAAGTTGAGGGGGAAAAACAAACAGAAAAGTTGTTTGGGATTCAGAAGATGGACCTGCAGAAGGGAGCAAATTGCATTTCCTCAGCTCTGTCCAAGCTTTCAGCCTTTCCTTCTGCTGTCAGCAGTCCATAACCTCACCTCACTTCTGTGTGTGTGTTTCAGGTTTACCTGCATCAACCAACAATGACTTTCTACAGGGATTTCTGTGACGATGGGTGCTACTCACCTTATGGCTTTGAAGACCTCTATGGTTTTGGGGGCCTGAATGGCTACCGATTTGGCAGCCCATATGGCTTCTTCCAGGACCAGTATCGATTTGTGAACCCATATGGCTTCAGAAGCTTTGGGAACCTGTATGGGAACAGAGGCTTCGGTGGCTATTATGGGTTTGGGGACTTCAACAGATTTGGGTACGGCTACCCCTTCTTTTCTCGTTTCGGCAATAGATACAATTAATGAAACTGCTATCCATGCTGAACCAGCAGAGATGGCAACCAAGATATGAAATGCAGGACACGGATTCATGGCTAAGATTTTGGTGCTGAGAAACGCCAAGCACCCAATGCCCTCTGGCTGAGTTCAGTGGGACACGTGGGTGTCAGGCTGTGTAAGACTACCCCATGCATAACCTTCTCTAATATCTCCTGTTTCTTCAACTATTACTCTAAAGGGCAACTTGAATTTACAGCAAGTACTGAGGCATCTTTACAGCGTGTTGAGGGAGTAAAGCAAGACTTTCAGGTGTGAGTAAAGTGCCTTTAAGTTCATTTACAGCCACTTTGTATTGCCATAGTAATAGGAGTTTCTACAGCCACCATGAACAAGTCCACCTTGTTCAGCTATAAACTTCACCAAAAATAATATCTAGTAGAGAAGCTTCTGTTACATATCCATGCTGTGCCTCATCTGGCAGTGAACATGACTTACAAGCAATTCTGCGAGCAAGAAACACGTCTGGACTGTCAAACTCCACCTTTGCCACAAGAAGAGAACATCATCCAGCACTGAACACGCTCTGCTTGCTGAAGACCCTTTTGTAAAACTGAAAACTTCTTCTGTTTCTCACTGTTTCTCATTTTCATTAAAATTACTTTGCTTAATCGTATCACATGTCCAGTCTTCTCCCTTTGTCTGTCCTCGTATGACACTGTAAAGGGACCAGCAGCTCTGCCACTTTAACCAACCATACAGTAAGAGGGAGGTCTAGGCTCCAGATGTGAGGGAGTAGCACCACATCTCCATCTGAAATGCTCCAACCTCCACTCATTTCCCAGAGTAGGAAGAAGTTCTACCTCATTTTAACTAATCTGTAATCCTGGGTTGACACGAATACTTCCCCAGAAAAGGGCATCACCTGAGTGTCTATATTACCAAACACATACTTCCAGGAGCAAGCTGGGTTTCATGCTTGAAAAAAGTAACTTTCAAAAGCAAGAGACTGAGTGGAAGTCTCATAGTCTGCCAAGGAAAGACAGCAATGGCACTCAAGGTTAAAGACACCTAAGAGAAAAGACCAAAGGCAACCAAGCTCTGACCATTTGCTGGAGAGATCAACTCCTTTGCAAACTGAACAGCCAGGTTCTTCAGGGAGTTCCTGTCAGCCTCTACCATGTAATTTTAGGAGATTGAATAGTCTTGATTTAGATTTAAAATATTAAAGATTATAATCTGGCACAGAAAAAGGTGGCTCAACAAGCATAGCCTAGACAAAACTGCATGGATCCCATGCAAGCCCAGTTATACATCAAAGACATCACCAGGAGTCAAAAACCTTGTTGCAGAAGCAACTGTGAGGGGGCACCTCCAGGCTGATTTTCAAGAGACAGCCTACATGGCTACCCCTTCTCTTCTCATGGTGGCCACCTGCACAACCATTTCCTCAGCTGACAGAGCAAAGTGAAGGAAAAGGTCAAGAAAATAACTAGTGGAGCAGATTGGAGAAGCACTTTCAGAGGCAGAAAACCATCAATAGTTAGCAGAATAGTCCCCAAACTGTAAATGCTATTCCTCCAGTCCAGAGTCCATCTCCTTACTTCCATGTCATTGCTTCAACTCAAACCATTTGACCTCGAACTGGACTGTAGCAGAAGACAAGCTCCACAGATCCATTTCTTTGTCTGGAAAGAAGCAGCCACCAGCCAAAAGATAGGTCTGGTCTGCTGCTTTGTTGTTCCGAGCTCACTACTTTGTGTCCTAGTTTGTGAGCAAGACAGAGTCAGATCAGGATGCCACAGGAAGAGGGTAAGGGCAGCAACCTCCACCCTAGCCTCCTAGCAGGGCATGTCGGCAGTAAACCAACACAACCCTTTGAAATTGGTAAAGCTATTAAGACATCTTTTGTAATCCTTCTTCTAGCTGCTGTCAGCAGCAAAAAGGGTTGGGTTCCCTAGGGAAGAATATTAAGAAATGATAGAGTGTCCCACCACAATAAATTCTGTTTATCTCCTTGGATGTCCTCTGGCACACAAGGCTTTACCCACCTGCATGTATCATGCAGATGGGTTTATTTAGAGATGAACAAGAAGAGGTAAAGAATAAAACACAGAAAGTCAAAGATCTGGGTGAAATTCTCAGCCTGCCCATAGTCCTTTGGTCCCAACATCAAGTCCCTCTCCAGGTTTACCAATGCAGCAGTATTTACGGTGTTTCTTCCCTTCACCACATCCCACTCATTCCCAGAGGAACTATCTCTTCTGACAGCAGGTACAATCATCACCCAATGCCTGGGGAACATGGCCCACAGGCTGTAATTGTCTGCCAACCCCAGCCTTCCTAGACCTGTCACTTCCTTCCACCACATTGCCTCAGAGCTGCCTGGGCACCACCTCGTTTCCCTTTTTGGTTTGAAGATTCCACAATTCTAAGTTGTGACTCCAGCTTGGTGCACAGCACTGAGGTTGCCCCAATGCACCTTGCTACTGATTCCCAGCTAAGAAACCTCAACCATCCCTTCCTCTTCCCTCACTCCATGCATCCAGCGCACAGCCAGGATCTCCTGCTCTGCTGCAGGTCAGCCTTATGCAAACACTGAAGCCCAATCACCACACAAGGAGAGAAACCAATTTCTCACCCCAGGTGCCCCTACCACATGGCTCTGAACCTTTAAGTTACCAAACAAGCACTGGATCATTTTATTACCTATTCATTCAAGAACATCAGGGTGACTCAAGAAGCCCCAAATCATTGTAGAATTGGAGTCCAAACCATTCCCCAGCTCTCCAAGCATCAGTCAATAACACTGATGCTCATTTCTCATGGGTCCATCCTAATATCTCAGGAAGCTCCGAATTTCTCAAACAGCCATGCGTGTGTGAAGAGCATTTTCCCTGTTTCATGGGGTTTTATACCCTGAGGCTTCAGAAAAGTTGGATGATTAGAGGAACTTTGTGCCTGACTATGAGACATTATCATCATAGATGACAGAGGGTTAATTTAGCTAACAGAAAACTAACTCCTATAATTTCATTTGAAGTTCTGAATGCCAGTCTGAAGCAGGATGTATTTACTGCATACATGTGGCAAATTACCAATTTAAATGCACCTTGAGAACAACCCACACCAGGCATGCTGCAGGATGTGCCTCCAGCACAAAGATTCACTACAAGAGCAAGAATCATTTTGAAAGAGTAAATTTATCCCAAATGAGAAATTGGGCCCCTGACTATTGCACAAACCAGATGAGAACATTTCAAAATATTTCTTAAAGGGTGCAAATATTACAATAAAACCTTTAAAGAGAAGGGAAAGTGGACCACAGCATCAGAAAATACTAGAAACAATGAGAAAAATAATAAGAATTTGAAAATTCACCATAATTAGATGAATATTCTTATCTCCTAATGCAATCATGAACCTAGGAGACATTAACAAATGCTACTACTACCTTAAAATTACATTGGTAGCTTCTTAGTAAGATGCTCAATATCTTTAGTCCTCTCAAAGCCTCAGAGCAAGTCACATGAGTAGCCTTTATAACAAAATCAATAAAAGTTGAATTATAAATAGGTCCCTAGAAATCCACTGGCAAAATTTCCTAATTTTCCTGCCAGTTGGTGTTTTGTGGTCACTGCAAGTCTCAGCTTATTCTATCGAAAGTGCAACTTGAGAGGCCTCAATAATAAACTTCAGTTCATTTCCAAACATACCATTAGCATAACAATAAAGAATCCTTCCTCTGGCTTTTGAGGTTTTGGGGGATTTCTTTTTTGTATGGAAGAATTTATGTGGTCTGCAAGAATCTGGTTTAATCACCTCGTCTAAGGCTCACCAACAGTCAATTACACACTATTAGAATGCCTGGTCAACCCTGTTTTCCTTACACATAAGGATAATAATTCTCCAAAGAGTGACTTCTATGAAATAACCCAGCATTTTCACATCAGCTTGAAATACTAAATTCTATTGTTTCTGTAACAAATTGTTAATACGCTACTTAACATTTCAAACACACACAGCAGCACGGAAAGCTTGACAAATGTTTATTATCAATATATTCCTGAAGAAATTCAAAATTTTATGAAAGAACATCACCATCCATTTGCACGTGCGCAGGTTACATTGTTGTAAAACATTGAGCAGAGCAGTAAAGCCAGAAATTTCATTTTTACACTCAAAAATAGCTGTTCTTACATAAGACTTGGGTTGAGATTCTTCTTACTAATAGCAATGCACCTCTGCTCTGATGTATTGTCATTGCCTAGATGGGGAGGTTGAGCCTGAGGACATCAGGTAACACACATTGTGCCCAAAAAAAAGCCAATATTGAGGAAAGAGCAAGACCAGGACCAATGAAAGCAAAGATGGACAGCAGTTTCATGAAGGGACAACTACAGCAGAGAGGTTCCTGGTGAAAAGAAGATGCAGACACACAACCCACTGCCAGATCTCTCAGGAATATCCTTGTCCTGAAGCAGATCGATAGGATCAGTTGGGTGCAGCAGGACAAAGACACCTGAATTAGGAGGAGCAGAAGGGAAGGCACGCACGCGTAGAGGCCAATAACATGTTGCAACACCACGTTTAATGAGAAAGAAGCAGATTATACAGAGGCAGGATTATATAGTACAGATTACAAATTACCCACAGCCTGTGGTTTGATGCAAGGTGATTCATGTAATAACTGATGTTGCTTCCCCTGTTGCAGTTGTGCTGATGCTCAGCCCTGATCACAGCAAGATGCGTACAGCACAGAAACAGACCACAGGCTGGTTGACTCCACCAACCTTCTTTTATACATCAGCAGACATAGAAAGCACCTACAAAGGGATGTGAAATTTATCTCACATCTGATCCTTTTGACAAAATGACACCTACAAGCCCCCAAGAAATAAGCAATATAGTCCAATAGCATCAAGAACAGAGCACTTTAAAAGGCATTAGAAAATGAAAATCAGGAAGGGTCACCCAAGAAGGATGTAAATGGATTTTTCAGAAGATCTGAGCATCTACAGATGCTTTTAATGGCAACACCAAATGCTTAACCCTTCCTAAATGCCATGCCCTGGAGCTCAACCACATATCTACATCCTGCTTGTCATCTCCTGGGCATTCTTCTTTCAGCAGCAACTGGCAACTAGGTTTAGCATGGTCTACAGCTTCCAATTGGGTATCCCCGTCCCCATTTGGCACCACCGTAAACCTGTGACCCGCCAGGAACATGGGCAGCATTAAAGCCAGCTCCAACTTCAGGGGCTCCTGCAGATCCGATGACACTCTGCTGTGGGAAGGTGCTGAGGATGGGTCCAGGGAAGGTCACAACCACCGGCGGAGGGTAGATCACCACCTTGGAGTCAGGACACTGCCGGACACAGGGCTCGTTGCAGCTCTCAGCAATGGGCTGTGGCACAGCCACCCCACATGGGGAGGCGTTGCCATCAATGCATGGGTTTAGAGTGTGCACCATTTTTGAGGGATGGTTTATCTGAAGCACAAGGGAAGAGTATAAAAATAAGGCACAAATTCTTACAAGTTCCACAATCAAAAATTCTAATAAAAGACTACCAACAGGCTAGAGGGAAAAGCAGGATTTTCATAGCTCACTTGCTAGAAGACACCTGTAATTCTTGTCTTGAACACAAGAACATCTGGAAATGAGCTTTCATGAAAAAATACTTGGAGCTCATCAACCAGATCTGCAGTTACCAAAGCTGAACAGTCACAAATTTATTCTTTCAGATCAAGAAAACCTCAGATTGATATCAAAATATTTGCACGCGATTCACCCTAATCTTAAAACTACAAACAAAAGCTTTGCTAGGAAGAGGAATTCAGATGAAACTTACCTACTTCACAAGAGGAATAAGACAAGAGAAATGGTGGTACAAGATCTGATGGCGAGCACTTTTATACTCGCCCTCAGACTACCCAAAGCATGAATCACCCGCGTGCATAACATCCTAATCGATTACTAAACACATTTCTTTCAAGACTTAACTTTCTTAATGAATGTCAATTGTCCCAAATAAATCGCTCATCATAATTGCAAGCTTGTCCTTCTACCCCATGTGACCTGTACTTTACTGCCTTCCAATCTCTGCTATTTCAAAACTTTATATAGAGGGGATATTCTGCCTCTGCATGTTAAAGACAAAAATGTTTATATGGTTCGTGCTTGATGTCCTCCATGGACTTGTTCTTGGGCAGGTGGTAAATGGCCACTTGCTTGGAAGAAAATATATTTGACTCAATCCAAGAAGACTTGCAAAAGAGAGAGATTAATCTGTGGTTTTGGTTTAAGGGTAGCCAGGATCATGATTGTGTGATGAAATTAGGTTAATACAAAGCCTGGTCAAAGCTCTAGCACAGTGAATTTTATATAGAGTTATAGATCCAAATAAGTCAGTGCAGCTTTTCCAGACACCAAGCATTGCATTTCTTTAAACACACAAGCTTTAAAAATAATTTTAAAAATATAAGGTCATATTTTATATGGAATTAAATGCTCCCTACTGTGAAGTTATAAATCACAACCTGGTGAGGGGAATAGCAAAAAGACAATAAATAGGGTGTGGCTTTAAGCAAAAACCTTGTCAAGCATTTTTTCCACCGAGTCGCTTCTTCAATAAAAGGGCATCTAAAGCTATTATAATAATGACCCATGTAGCACACGTAGAACAAGTGGAAGATGCCTTTTGCAATCCCAATTGCTGATGAATTGCAAGTGCCACCACCATGGGGTTATCATCCACATTAAACAGTGGCATGAGGAGGAGATTTTTTGACACTCAGCAGTAGAGTCAGCAAGAGATGTCAAGGATGTCAACGCCATGTGCCAACAGAGACACTCCCACCAGGGACCATAGAGTGTAGCAACTTGTCCATTCTGATTTAGACTTCATCTTACTTAAAAACAAAAATATTTTGTTACGTTTGTAGTAATAGAGAGGATTTGATTGGTCTGTTCTATTATACAAAACCTCATCTCAAAGCCCTCTCCCTTTCTCCCCACAGCATGTTCTTGCAAGATAAAGTCTTCCTTTGGTGGAGTTAGAAGCAGATGTGGTCACACTGTAGAACAAAGTCTTCCCCTTTCAAGGAACTTCAAGATAATAAATGTCATAAAAAAGGCAGAAAAAATGACTTTGAAAGGCAGGACTAGACCTCATCACATTATACACTACTGTGGAGTAGAAACCTTCATCAAGATTTCCACAACAATGGGAAATGGCTGAGATGCGTTCCTCCTTTAATTGCATACTGAGATTTATCTTTGTCATGTCATGATGCTTGGGGATGACATAAGGTATTTGTAACTCCTTCAGAAAACTAGCTCTGCCTTTTCTATAATTGAAGATAACCAGGTGAATTGCAACATATATCTTTATCTCAGCTTAGACTGGGTAGGCAATTTATCCCTAAAGTAATTCCTCAAAAACATTTGAATTGGATGGATTTGGAGACAAAATTTTAGTAGGACCTGTAGCAATAGGACAGGGGGTGGTGGTAATAACTAAAAGAGGGGAGATTTAGATTTGATAAAGAAGAAATTTTTTATGATGAGGGTGGTGAGACACTGGCCCAGGTTGCCCAGAGAGTTGGCAGAAGCCCCATGCCTGGAAACATTCAAGGTCAGGTTGGACGGGGCTCTGAGCAACCTGATCTGGTTGAAGATGTCCCTGTCACTGCAGGGGGGTTGGACTAGATGAGCTTGAAAGGTCCCTTCCAACCCAAACCAGTCTATGATTCTAAATATCTAATTACTATTTTCAAGTTAGCCAGCTGAAGATAAAACTAAACATTAAGTCTTATTTTAGAAATATATTAATATTTCTGACTTGAAAAGTCAAAGTCTTCAATCCAATGTAGAGTAATCCACACTGTTGGGATTCGTCTCCTTCTCTTGCAGACTAATTGGGGTTAGTGTCACTGCAGGGTCCATTTATCTCAACATAAAGGTTAACAACACTGACAGTAGGCACGCCAATGCTGTCTGAAAGCATTTTCAAAGCACATCGTAAAAGCTCATTAGTGTTCTACACAACTGATGTTGTAATATGTATTCTTTTTTTTTAACAAGAGTATTATGACTGCCAGAGAAGACAAGGAAATAAAAATGATGAGTCAACCTGTGAACCACAGCCAAAGCTCTGTGCCTAAAGAGTGCGTCCATAAGGAAGTAACGCAACAAAACAGTGCACGTGTCAGCTTAATTCACCAGTTAAAACAAGCTTAGGAATCAAATTCCAGCACCTTAAAAACTAGAGCCACTAAAAGACAAAAATCATCCATCAGGAGACAGAAAAAAACACCTGAGCTGCAGACAAGCCATCAGCACTTTCAAGCATTCAAAGTGCTGACAGGAAACATCTAGATTTAACTGAAATATTAAGATACTTCAAAAGACTTTAATAGTCCTCTATCTGTAAGGAAAGATGTGTAAAACCTTCAAGGACCAAGCTAGAGCTTGCCACAAGAGCAGGTGGCAAGCTCTGGATCTTTAGAGAGTCTGTCTGTCTCTTTAGAGACATCAATGGATGTCTCTCTAAAGACATCCATTTGATTATTCTGTTCAAAAGAAGCAGATAGATATCAACAATCAAATCTATCCCCAAGACCATGGAAACATCACAACAAATAGATTCATGAAGTTTAAAAACTAAAAAAACCCAAAAAAGTGTGTGGTTTAGTGTGAACACCACAGCAGGTGAGGCAGGAACCTTAGAAACAATTACATCTATTACATGTTGGCTTTGGTTAATCACAGAATGATTTGGGTTGGAAGGAACCTTAAAGATCACCCAGTTCCAACCCCCCTGCCATCAGCAGGGACACCTTCCACTAATAAGGACTTTGTGCCCAAAAAGGTGAGCTCTCCACCAGAAAATGTTTGACTAGGAAAATGTTTGAAAGTAATTTGAGACTCAGAACTTCATCCATTTCTCTTGGTTTCTCCTCCTCAAACCAGGTCTGAGTGAGCAGCTCGGTTGCTTTAGAACTACCTTCCACCAACCTTCTTTCCAGCCATAAAGAGCAGCCAAATGCAAAGCCTAATGAAAACAAGGAATGACTCTTTCTAAGTTTGAAGCCGTACGATGAGTAGCCAAGTGCCAAGCTTTGGGTACATCCCTCCCAACCTCACTTTACAAAGCCAGGCTCCTCAATGCCCCCAGTTGCCTACCTGCATCTAAACAAATGGGGCAATGAAGCTGGTGAAGGTTCTGGAGAGCAAGTCTTACAAGGAGCAGCTGAGGGAACTGAGGTTGTTTAGCCTGGAGGAGGATGAGGGGAGACCTTCTCACTCTCTACAACTACCTGAAAGGAGGGTGGATAGAGGTGGGAGTCAGTCTCTTCTCCCAGGTAAGAAGCGATAGAAAGAGAAGAAATGGCCTCAAGTTGTTCCAGGGGAGGTTTAGATTGGATCTGAGGAAAAACTTCTTCACACAAAGGGTGGTCAAGCATTGGAACAGGCTGCCTGGGGAGGTGGTGGAGTCACCTTTCCTGGTGGGATTTAAAAGATGGGTAGACAAGGTGCTAAGGGACATGGGTTAGAGGTGGAATTGGTAGTGTTGGGTTTATGGTTGGACTCAATGATCTTAAAGGTCTTTTCCAACCACTACAATTTGATGATTCTATGAAGAAAAGGGAAAATGGAGTAAGTATGAGCATTGTCCACTCCCCCCTGCTGCTTCTTAATGGTCAACCTGTTAAATGAAGCTTTAAGAGGAGAGGATTGATAGATTTCTTTACATAACTAATGAGGTCAGTGGAATAAAAGGAGGCTTTTACTTCTCCCATAAAGATTTAAAATTGAAAGGACCCACAGGGTGTGAGGTGCATTTCAGAGTATTTGGGGACAACAATATATTAATAATCACAAGCAATTAAAAGAATGACAGCCAACGAAAAAGTTGCATATGACTAAATTCTCTCCAGTGTCTAATTAGGATTTGATCTACAGCAGCTCAGGTTTTCCATGCAGTTTAAAAGTCTGTATAAAAACAAGTATTTCCAAGTTTTTAACCCAGTTCTGACTCTCTGCTGTGAGCTCGGTAAGTTATTTGCCTATTTCTATTCCTAACTAGCAAAATAGCCTTTTGGTGGTACTCAGAACTTGAATCTAGATCCTGCAGAAATCCTCTGACACTGTGAATTAAGGGAGTTGTTTCTTTTAAAGGTCCTTTCTTGGGTTTGGAGTTTTTTTTTTTATATAGGTATGGGCAGCTACAGGTTTTTACAGTTGAGCCCAAGATTTACAGAACCTCACCCAACGTGGATTGTGATGTTGTTCACGTCAATCTGGCCATTTAGGCACCCATATCTTTAATTTGCTTTGAAAAAAGTGAATTCTATATTGCTCCTATACTAGATTTTAGTAATTCAAGTCACTATTTCTGTTGACAGCTGACCTTTACCATCCTAAGCAGAGACTGATATAAATTACTTCTATTATATCACAGAAACTAA